ATTCCAATGTTCATGGATTGCAATTGTAGTTATAACTGTAATCCAAAATTGCTGGTCTCCCTGTATTAGATGACAGATTGTGATTACAGATTTTGACATGTTAATTTTTCATCTGAAGTCAAATAATGTTATCCACTCAAGTGATCTGTTTTCCAGTTTCTCTTATGTTGAAAGGGAACTTCTTTTGATTATAGGACCTTCTGTGCTGTAATGGCCGCTTCCCTACCTAAACTCAAAATCTTGTCTTTAGCTAGGTGTTTAATACTCCTAGCTATTTTGCCACATGCTTCTGTGTTTTTCAGAATGATTCTCATCAGTCTAAGGAATCTCTTGAAAAGTAATAGTCCTATATAGAATGCTCTTAAAATAAGTTCTAACTCAGTTTTCAAATCTTACACTGATCCTTTTCATTTTATCTCAACCTAACTTTCAGTTTTTTATTTTTTTGTTATTTATTTATTTATTGCACATTTATTCCTCATAAATGTTCCTTCCACTAATATCACCTTATATTGCCCATGCAAATCACAGTCCTAGTTCCTAAAGAAGCTTTTTCAATCACAACACTTCACAAATGGATGAAAACCATCTTGGCACAAGTTGTTCATTTTATGGTATCCAAGAAAAGAGGAAAATGCAAATATTGCACTGCCTTCTTCCTTCTCTCTCTTTTATTTTTGACTATCAAATGATGCTGTCTGCATTTAGTTTAACCGTTTGTGTATCTCTAGACACGTTCTTATACCAATTCACAGTTCTACAGTTTATTAATTTCCTAGATGAAAACTCAATCAAATTGAAAGTTAAGAGTAACCCTCACAGTTCTTTGTAAAAAAGAATATCAGTGCAAATGACGGATGAGTCTGACGTTAAACATTTTGCATGTGAGGAAGTGGAGTAATGCTCCAGCACTGGGAATATAGGTACAAATGAAAAGACAATGCTAGAAATAGATGTCATTTGTACTATCCACATTTCCTTAGTACCTAATGGCTTGCAAACTAAATTTACGTATGTTGTATACCTGAATTTTACACATTTCCAAGAGAAACTTGTGACTATATTCAGTGTTGAGGCTTATAATATTTATGAATCTCATATAGGAAAAATTAGAAATAATTATATTATTTCAAAATTGGATGATTTATTCTCCCTCTGATACCTTGCAAAAAAAATTGTAAAACTTAGATTACTCTGTGTAGCAGGGGCCAATGGGGAAGGGAGTGAGAAGGCATGGAATCAATGACATAGATCTAGGAGCCAGGTGAGAAGCTAAAGCTGCCTTGCATATTGAGACTATGGGCAAGATTTTATACCAACTCCTGGGACAGAGGAGCAGTGCCAATCTGAAATGCTGTGTTGTCTCTTGATGTGGGAGTGATTTCTTTCTAATCTTTTGCTATCATTGGTTAATTAATAAAGAAATTGCCTAGGCCCATTTGATAGGCCAACCCTTAGGTGGGTGGAGTAAACAGAACAGAATGCTGGGAGAAAGAAGCTGAGTCAGGGAGTCGCCATGATTCTCCCACTCCAGACAGACACAGGTTAAGATCTTCCCTGGTAAGCCACCTCGTTGGCTACACAGATTATTAGAAATGGGTTAGATCAATATGTAAGGGCTAGTCAATATGAGCCTAGAACTAATGGGCCAAGCAGTGTTTAAATGAATATAGTGTCCGTGTAATTATTTTAGGTATAAAGCTAGCCATGAGGGCGGCGGGGTGCCAGGAACATAGCCAGCTGCTCATATTACAACAGTCTCTCTCTCTTGGTTGCCCAGGTCATGATGAGGTCAGCAGTCTCCAGGCCTTACTACACTGACTGCAGACTTCTAGCTGGCTCATAGGGAAGTTACTAATGTGCATGCTCGACTGGCTATGAGGGGGTTACTCCCAGTCAGTCACAGCCAGTTTTAGCTAGCTGTTGGCCTCCTTCTACAATACTGCATGTGTGGAGTATGGCTAATAGATACAGTGTCGTTTTAATGCTAAAAAAATCCTAATTAAATTTTATTTTGCGTATATAGAAATATGAAAAACTTTTACATGTTCCTAGTTTGTATCACATCATTTCAACAGAATAATTTTAGCCATAAAAAAGATCTTACTGATTTATTTATATATATATATATGTTCCTCAAGGTAAAGAAAAGAAACTTCATACATGATTGTTAGAAAGTTTCAAAGCCAGGCATAAACACGTGGGTTCATTGCTAGCATGATACATACTCCATTAACTATTCTGTTTTTTTTTTCATGACAAATGTTGTTTTGGTTAATTGGAATAAAGAAAGAAAGCTCATTGTTCAGAAATATCAAGCATGCATTTTTACTACAAAGTAAATTGTGTGATAAGTATTCTATGTATATAATGGCTCTGATTAGCATTTATTGCCCATAAATTTTCTTCCATAACTTTTTTTTGAGAAGTAAAGAGATTTTAATTTTTAGTTACTGAGAATTTACCCTGTAGAGAATTTTTTGTGTGTGGTTTTATTATTATTATTAAAAATTTCCACCTACTCCCATTTCCCTCCCCCTACTCCCCACTTCCCCTACCCCTCCCTCTCCAGTCCAAAGAGCAGTCAGGGTTCCCTGCGCTGTGGGAAGTCCAAGGTTCTCCCCCGTCCATTCAGGTCTAGGAGGGTGAGCATCCAAACAGGCTAGGCTCCCACATAGTCAGTACATGCAGTTGGATCAAAACCCAGTGCCAATGTCCTTGGCTTCTCAGTCAGCACTCATTGTCAGCAACATTCAGGGAGTCCGGTTTGATTACATGCTCCATCATCCAGCTGGCCTTGGTGAGCTCCCATTAGATCAGCCCCACTGTCTCAGTGGGTGGGTGCACCCCTCGCGGTCCTAACTTCCTTGCTCATGTTCTCCCTCCTCTGCTCCTCATTGGGACCTTAGGAGCTCAGTCCAGTGTTCCAATGTGGGTCTCTGTCTCTAGCTTCATCCATCGCCAGATGAAGTTTCTATGGTGATATGCAAGATATTCATCCTCACACTTCTGATAAGCAAAGTCATAAAGTCCATGTAATCAAAACTGTGGGACACATTGAATGGCAAGGTAACTTTTTAGTAAAATAAAAAATAATATCAGACAAAATAAACCAACATTGGATAATAAAATTATAACGGGTAAAGCAAACCGCTACCTACAGTGCTAGACAAGAAGGGTAGAAAAGAGGGCAAAACTCCTCTCCCTATGTCTTGTTATTAAAAACCAGCAAAGAAAGATCCCAGGGAGAAGAGACAGTCAATGTAACAGAAAGTTGCTCGGGGCTGCTGTGCAACGTCATTCTATGAAATAGTCTAAATAACAAGTAGCAAAACCAAAGAGAAACACTACAATCAAACTCTTCTGCTGAGAACAGCAGCCGATAGTACAACCACACATGGAAACAAAACTCTGAAGACCCGCCCCTTACCCAATAAAATAGAAACCCATACAACCTCAGAAGTACAGGAGTCTGCAATAGGAGCTGACCAGACTGAAAGCAATTAGAGCGAGGTCTGTGGAGCATGAAAGGAAGTTCCATGGTAAGATGACAGTATGTACATGGTTAAGACTACATGGGCTAGTGAATATCAGAACCTCTGGCTTTGAAATTTACAGGGAAATGGAAGCACTGCCCAGCTAGTCAGATGAAAGTAATATAGATCAACATACCATGCTGACGACTAGAAAAGTCAATTCTAAGGCAGCCCCTCATCGGTCCAGTATTAAAAGAGTGAGGCTCCGTGCTGTCTAAATGTTAGGCCCTAAAGTAAGTGTCACAGGGAACAGAAGCATTCCTTACAATTCACTCTTTACTGGTTCACAAGGAAGCAGAATCAACGCTGTCACTTTGGAAGATCTGGGCACTGAGTGTGTGAAGACGCAGGATGACCTGGAATTTTTTCAAGATCTTGGGCACTTATTGGTGTCTATGAGAGAAGACCACAGGAAAAGACATGACAGATTTCTGTGGGTTCATTGGACTAAAATTTCAGTCCTGAATTGCAATAAAATACAGGTGGTGAGTTTGAAAGGGCGCATTAAGACTTCTTAATGCATGGGAGAACTGGAATGGAAGAAAGGAAAGGGGAAATGGTATAAAATGTAAAATGTACTGAATCTTTGATAAAATATATATTCATTGTGATTGAGCAAATTGCAGACTTTTTCAAGAAAAGAAAATATTTTGAGGATTTTGAAAGTCAAAATGTATACAAAAATAAGTCAGCAAACCTGTAATTTACCATGAAATCTGTTTTATGAGTTTCAACAGAAAGGTGAGTGCATCTAACACTATAAGCTGTCTTTAGCAGCATCTAAAAGATATAGGAATGGTAATTCATTGAGAAGGGACATTTTGTGCTCGAGTGGAGTATGTTTAAACAATGAAAACGTGGAACAACCCATCTAACAAAACATGGATGGAGTGATCTTAAATAGAATAGATATACAATTGCTAGCTGTATTGTTATTCCATATTAAAGGAAAATAGTAAAAGTTGATATTAATATAAGTCAAAATTGGCATAACTTTCAATGGCTCATCAGAGATGACACTTCTGAGATGTTTGCATATTTATAGCTATGTAAGCAAAACACTGGCACTTTAATTCATGTCCAGCATAGAAGAAAACTATAAATAAGGAATCACATAATTAGCAATGGTACAAAATAAGCATAAAATTAGAAAATATTGAAACTTTATTTTTTCATATTTCCCTTTGAGGACAAAAAATAGAACTGTAGAGAAAGAAACTAGGGATTCCTGAACCTTTGCAAGTATAAGGATCAGGGACATGAGTCAAGTCCTTCAGCTCATGTATTGTGTCTATTAGAGGCAAAGTGAGCAAACTGAAACTACAGCAACCACACATGACCATAATCCCCGTATATTGTTAATGAATTTGTCAGCCATTTTTGCTTCTGCATAATTTCTATCAATGTGTTAGTCAGCTCTGTCCCACCCACTGCTTAATTAACCAGAACTTTTTTGTTGATTAGCTTCAGCCACCAGTCATGACTTCTTTCCCAGTGATGTTGTTTCTCATAACTCTGCCATTGTCATCAATTCTCACCGAGGGAAGGGTAAGTTTAAAATGGATAATTCTTTCAGATCTACCAAAAAACTTTGTGAAATGGTACACTGCTTGGAGAGTACAGGAATCCAGAATGTCTGTTAGGCACCAAATTTCATTGGGATCTTGAATGAATTAAAAGTGTTTCATTGATAAAATAATAAGGATGTACTGCCTATCACTGGCAGGTATAGCACCCACCAGTGTCATGTGGGAACTGGACACTTGAAAAGTGAAAAACACTATAAATACATGGTCCTTATCCAACATCAAAGATGCACATCAAGGGGCTACTCATCAGCAGGTAAAGCATTAAAACTTGACTTTAGATATGAAGCTTATCTTTAATTGCAATACTCCCACTGTGAAATGCTAGGCACAAGTAGAAGAATCCTTGTCTCAAAAAGTTGAATCTGAGAACAAACTGCCAAAATTATTCTTTACATTCTTTAACATGTGAAGATTTCTGAAATCTCACGAGAGAAGTAGCCCCTCCTTCCTCTATGTCATTCCGACAGTTACTTATTATTTGATGACATATTATTCATTAAAGATGAAGTCAGTAGAGATGCTATAGTTAATATATAATCTTTAAAAAATTGTAAAAATGTCTGCCTTCCTACTAATAACTCAACGGATACTAGAAAACAGCTCTCATCAGAAGAATTTTATATACATAAGAAGAATGCTTGAGAGGTAAAAATACTATTACTTTATTCTCTAAGAAAACTAGTTTTGAGTTTTGAAATAAATAATGACACTGTTACTGTTCACATATGCTTGAAATATTTCATTTGCCTATAGGCCACCACATTGTGGTGAAAAACCATCTTTAGACATTGTTCAGACATTTCATGAATATTGTTCTATGCCTGCACTTAATCCTCACATACACACATCTACAAGATAATGTGTCAATTTGAACTATTATTAATAGTTTATCAGTTGTACTTCCACCATTAACTTGAAAAACCTAAGAAACAGTCACTTCCCTAGATCAATTTATTCTTCCTAAATCAACCAGAAAATTGTGTGTGTGTGTCTGTATGTGTGTGTGTGTCTGTGTGTGTGTGTGTGTGTCTGTGAGTGTCTGTGTGTGTCTGTGTGTCTGTGTGTGTCTTTGTGTGTCTGTGTGTGTGTCTGTGTGTGTGTCTGTGTGTGTCTGTGTGTGTCTGTGTGTTTGTGTCTGTGTGTGTGTCTGTGTGTGTCTGTGTGTGTGTCTGTGTGTGTGTGTCTGTGTGTGTGTGTCTGTGTGTGTGTCTGTGTGTGTGTGTCTGTGTGTGTCTCTGTGTGTGTGTGTCTCCGTGTGTGTGTGTGTGTGTGTGTGTGTTAGTATCTGAAAGCTGGCTGTTGAGTAGCCCTGGAGAATTTGTTCTAAATCTTTAAAATACTCCTGATATAGTATTGAATAAGAAGTCTGTTCTTGCACTGAGTCAAATTCTCTCCAACTACAGATGACAAGAAGTCAATGTTCCCTTTGTTATCTTGCATGAGTCATGACCTCATCAACACTTCCTATCTTACTGCATCTTACACAAATACAAATGGATAAGTCTTATATTTGCTAATATAAAGATCGTTGTAATAAGTTTTCTTTACCTCAGGTTCTGCCACAGAAACAATCCCTCACACCTGCTGAACACACAAGAAATGTAAAAACTGTTTTGGACAAGATTGACTGCCAAGATAAAGAAAATGATATAGAAGCCTTGAAGAGGATGTTCTGTGTGTCCCATCAAGATGAAACATCAATTGATGACATGATCGATGCTAACCAAAACAATTCATACCTGTCTACAGTTTTGACTGCTGTCAGAAAATTGTGCACTAACAAGCATCAAGAGGACCCAGTAAACTCCCATAACATGGCCAATAAGGCTGCAGGCACCAGAGTTGATCAACAACAGAAAAATTTTACTAGGAAAGTCATATTAGCGTTAGACGACTTTTTGGAAAGAGTGGCAAATGTGTTGGCTTCCCATTATATTTAATCAGGAGCCTCCTGATATCCTACCTTCAGTGCCTCTTATTAGGCTCTTTCAAGTACCGAATTATATTTAATTAACCTCCAAAACACAAAAAGAGTGAAAACTCTAAATAAACACAATAAACTTAGTAAATCTCTTTCTCCTCCTTCTAGCAAAATGCTAAAATGCCACAGGCAACAAAGAAACTATTCTGAACAAACTATTGAAGAAGCAGGCATGTGTGCTCCTTTTAGCATCCTTGTTTTTTCACCTAGCTTCTCTGGAGTTGTGGTTTGTATCCTTTTTCTTTACATCTAATATCCACTTATGAGAGCACATACCAGCTTGTCTTTCTGTGTCTGAATTACAGGATGTTTTTGTCTAGTTCCCTCCATTTGTCTGCAAATTTCAAGATGTCTTTGCTTTTTATCCCTGAGTAGTACTTCATTATATAAATGTACCACATTTTTCTTTACCCATTCTTCAGTTGAGGGACATATAGGTTGTTTCCAGGTTGGGAAAATGTCTTTGTGGTAAAATTGTGCATCCATGGGGTATATGCTCAGGAGTGGAATTTCTGGGAATTGAAGTAGATTGATACCCAGTTTTCTGAGAAATTGACATACTGATTTCCAAAGTGGCTGTGCAAGTTTGCATACGACCAGCAGAGGAAGAGTGCTCCCCTGACCTTACTGACCATCCTGTCCAACATAAGCTGTCATCAATGTTCGTGATCTTAGCATTCTAATAGGTGAAAGATCGTTTCTCAGAGTCATTTTGATTTGCATATTCCTGATCACTAGGGATGTTGAGTAAATCCTTAAATATCTTTTGGTCATTTGAGATTCATCTGTTGAAAAGTCTCTGTTTAGACTGTACCCCTGGTTTTAATTTGATAATCTGGTACTATGATGTCTAGTTTCTTGTGTTCTTTATATATTTTGGAGATCAGTCCTCTCTCTGATATGGGGTAAGTTAAGATCTTTTGCCATTCTGTAGGCTGCTGTTTTGCATTCTTGACCATGACATTTGCCTTACAGATGCTTCTCAGTTTCAAAAAATCCCACTTATTAACTGTTGCTCTCAGTGTCTGTGCTACTAGTGTTATACTTAGGAAGTGGTCTCCTGTGCCCATGCATTCAAGACTACTTTCTCTTCTGTCAGGTTCAGTGTAACTGGATTGATGTTGAGGTCTTTGATACACTTGAACTTGAGTTTTGTGCATGGGGATAGATATGGATCTATTGGTATTCCACATGTTGACATCCAATAATGCCAGCACCATTTGTTGAAGATGCTTACTTTTTCATTGTATAATTTTGACTTCTTTGTCAAAAATCAGGTGTTCCTATGTGCGCAGATTAATATCAGAGTCTTCAATTTGATTCTATTGATATATATGTCTGTTTATGCTAATATAGTGTTGTTTTTATTACTATATCTCTTTGGCTGAGTTTTGAAGTCAGGGATGGTGATGCCTCCTGAGCTTCCTTTATTGTACAGGATTATTTAGGCTAGGCTATTCTAGATTTTTGTTTTCCATATTTAATTGAAAATTGTTCTTTCAAGGTCTAGAAAGAGTTGTTTTGGGATTTTGATGGAGATTGCACTGAATCTGTAGATTTTTTTATTTTTTAAGATTGCCATTTTTGTTATGTTGATTCTACCTATCTAAGAGCATGAAACATCTTTCCATTTTCTGATATCTTCTTTAATTTCTTTCTTTAAAGACTTACAGTTCTTGTCATACAAGAATTTCACTTGTTTGGTTAGAGTTACCCAAAAATATTTGTTATTTGCTATTGCAAAGGGTGATGTTTCTCTGATTTCTTTCTCAGACCATTATCATTTGTATGTAGGAGGACTACTGATTTCTTTAAGTTAATCTTGTATCCTGTCACATCACAGATGTATGATGTGTTTATCAGCTATAGGAGTTCCCTGGTAGAGTTTTTGGGGTCACTTACGTTTTCTATAATATAAAACTGAAAATAACAAAAGTTTGACTTCTTCCTTTCCAATTTGTATCCCCTTGATCTTTTTTATTGTTCTCTTATTGCTTTACCTAGAAATTCCAGTGTTATATTGAATAGATACAGAGAGAGTAGACACTCTTGTCTTGTTCTTGATTTTAGCGAGGTCCTTTGTGTTTATTTCCATTTAGTTTTATGCTGACTATTGGCTTGTTGTATATTGCCTTTATTATGCTTAGGTAAGTTCCTTGTATCTCTGATCTTTCCAATACATTTATCATGAAGAGGTGTTTTTTGTCAAGTGCTTTTCAACATCTAATGAGATGATCATATGCTTTCTTCTTTAAGTTTATTTATATGGTGGTTTACATTGACCAATTTTCATGTATTAAGCCATCCCTACATCTCTGGGATGAAGCCTGCTTGATTATGGTGGATGATTTTTTTTTTTGGATGTGTTCTTGAATTTGGTTTGCTAGTATTTTATTGAGTATTTTTGCATCAATGTTTATGAGTGAGATTGATCTGTAATTCTCTTAGTTGCATCTTTTTGTGGTTTGGATATCAGGGTTTTATAAACTCATAAAAAGTCTTTGGCAGTGTCTGTTGTGTTTCTATTTTGTGGAACAAATTTAGGAATATTGGTATTAGATCTTCTTTGAAATTCTAGTAGAATTCTGAGCCCTGGATTCTTTTTGTTAGGAGACTTTATATGACTGCTTCCATTTACTTAGGGGTTAGAGATCTATTTAAATTGTTCATCTCATCTTAATATAATTTTTGGTATGTGGTACGTATGCAGAAAAATTGTCCAATTATTTCACATTTTCCAATTTTGTGGAATAAAGATTTTAGAAGTAGAACCTAATGATTATCTGGATTTCCTCAGCTGGTATTGTTATGACCCCCCCTTTTTCCTTTCTGATTTTTTTTTCTTTGAACATTCTTTCTCTGTTTTTTGGTTAGTTTGAGTGTTTGTCTATCTTGTTGATTTTCTTGAAGAACAAACTCTGTTTCATTGATTCTTTGGATTGTTTTTTTTTTCTTTTTTTTTTTATTGATTCCAGTCCCCAACTTAATTATTTTTGGCATCTACTCCTCCTAAGAAAATTTGCTGCTTTTTGTTCTAGAGCTTTCAGGTGTGTTGTTAAGTCACTAGTGTGAGCTTTCTCCATGTTCTTTATGTAGGTATTTAGTGCTAAACCTATAGCTCAGAAGAAATCCCAGAAAGGGACTAGAAAGAATGTAAAAAAGCCAGAGGACCAGAACATCTTCAGCTTCTAGACATGACAGAGGATCCACAGCCACAAAATCTCAAAACAATGATTGTGTGAGTAAGTCTAACATAAAGATACTACCAGTTGACATGCTGACAAAAACTGGGGAATTGCTACAAGGTCCAACCTTGAGAAAAACGGTGAAAAATAATGAAAATGAAAAGCTACAGGTGGTCAGTGGCTGCTGAGAGAGAAGCCATGTCCCCCAGAGAGGAGTTATGTACAGGTTATTCAGTTTCAAGTGGTTGGGCCGGAACGCATATTCATAGAATCAGTGCTGAATGGACACAGAGAGTTGTATATTCATTGAGAAAAGGAGAGATTATGGATTTGGGAAGGAAAGGAGAGGAACGAGGGAAGTTGAAGAGGCAGGAATGATGGGGATGTAATGTTCACATGTAAAGTTCATAAAAAGTGTTTTAAAGCAATGGCAGAAGAAAGAGTCCAGTGAATTTCAAACCATAGTAGGATTATCCTGAAGAAAATACTTGCGAAATTAATTCAACAATACATTAAAAAGCAATACAGTATGATCCAGTTGGTTTCATTCCAAAGAAACAAGAATATTTCAGAATGTCAAAAATAAATGCATGTAATAAAACTATGATAATTATTGTTAATTGTCAACTGGACAGACTCTAGAATTCCCAGGTGATGGGCTTTTGTCCATGCCTTTGTGAAGTAGTTTAGCTATGCTAAATGGTGGGAGAAAAACCATTTTCTATGTGCAGGACTGTTCCATGGGCCTGGGACCATGAATTACATAAAATGTAGAAATCAAGCTGATCACAAGCTCACATTTGTTCTTCCTTGTTTCCTCTTAGGGAATGTATTGTGACCAGGATTCTAAAGATTTTTTTTCATATTTGAGAAGATTTGCATTTTAAAAGTTATTAAAAATAGTATTTAACATGTTAGAGCTTATAAAAATTAATCTTACCTGATACAGTGAGAAATTCAGGTTCAGTCCCTTTTTGTCGTCCATATTTGGAAAGGAAAAGACACCAAAAGAGTGCTCTCTAATTAACATATGCATGCTATATACATATCCATTTGTATACACACACATACACACACACACAATTTCACAATAGTACACACACACATAATAACACATGAATGACTCTAAAATGCTTGACAAGAAAGGGAGAGACGAGGGTGACACTCCTCTCCCTGAGCCTTGATTTTGAAACATGAACACAGAAAGATCACAGAGCAGAAAAGACCAATGTAACAGAAAATTGCTCAGGGCTGCTATCCAATGTCTCTAGCTTAAATATTCTAATGAGAAAGAAGAAAAGCCCAAGAGAAACTTGACAATCAAACTGCTCTGCTAAGAATAGCAGTGAATTTGGTAGTACAACCACATTTGGCACCAAAGTCTGAAGATCCACCTTCTACCCCATAAGATAGAGACCCATACAGCCGCAGAAGCACAGGAGCCTGCAATTAGAGTTGACTTGACTGAAAGTTGATGGAACAAACAATTAAATCTAAGACTAGGGAGCATGAAAAAAAAATCTCCATATAAGATGACATTAATTAATGTATAAAGTATATAGATTATTAAGATTACATGGGCGAGTAACACATCAGAGCCTCTGGTTTTGAAATTTACAGGCAAAAGGAAAGACTGCCCGGCTGGTCAGATGAGAAGTGATATAAAGCCACACACCATGTTAATGACTAGAAAAGTCAGTTCGAATGCAGCTCTTCATCTGCCCAGGATTAAGAAGAGTGAGGCCACATATGCCTAACTGTTAGGCCCTAAAGT